AAGTAAATTCCAACTGGATAAAAGCGAAAGTGAAATAGCTCCTGACGCATATTATGATATGAATGGGCGGAGTGGTGTAGTGGCAAGTGGCGCACTATCTCACACGCGTGGTCAGGGGTTCGAATCCCAGCCTAGGCCAACCAAGCCTTCCATCCCTCCGGGGTAGGTGAATTGTGCCAGACTTGTCTGGGAGGATAAAAGCACTGACTTGTACATCGGCTGGCCACCGCAAGCCATTGTATAGGCCACACACGCACTCATTACTCCACTACGATTCTGAATGGAAGTCGAGTGTGGGGGCGCACCCTCAGACGGGATTGATTAACGCCAAAAACTTCATCCTTTATCATTTATGATATGAATTGTTTCACAGATTGAGAGGTTCAGCAAAAATATGTGTAAGGTTCCCCACAAAAACGATCGAGATGTTTTTCACAGGGACGATACGTGTGGTTAGCAGGACTGTCTATGCTTGTGGTGTTCTCTGCATTGGTTGCAGCCAGAGACTTGCATCTTCCAGAATACAATCCATTACAATTGTTCATTGCCTCAAATCCTCATGAATGGTAGCTCAGATTTTTTTTTGTGATTCTCTGTTCGGTTTGTTCAAGTACCTGATTCTTGGTTGTAGGTACGATAATAACGCTGAGAAGACGTTTGAGTTCGTTGAAAAGAAGATCGCTATCCCACTGTTCGCACGGCTCGTCTGGGGAGTGAAGACCGTGAATTCGACAGCGATGTTCCGAACAGATGCTGTGACTCCACTGGAGTGAGAAGATTTCCCATTTCCTCCTTTACGATATCTAGGGACAGAAAAAGTAAAAGTTCTAAGAAAAGTGAGCTGATCGGTACTGGGCAATCGCTTCATTGTGCTAAATCTGCTAAATCTTAGAGGCACCAGTCAGATGATTTTAGGGTATCTAGTTTTAGACGGCTAATGGAAGTGGTAGTCTAGTATGGGGTAAAAGAAGCAAAGCAAATGTGGGGGACGGCGTATTTAGAGAAATATGAGGCTCCAAAAAACTATTAAAAATAGGGGTTGACCCACACACCAAAGTTGTATGGATGGGTATTTGGACAAGCTGTTATATCGGGTAAGCCATTGCATACACCTGGCTACAGTAAGCTGCATGCGTGCTAGATGTGGGTCCTGGTGCAAATGGCGCAACCTCTACAGCTTTTATAACGCTTAAAAACTCGTTCGTCTTGGGTGTATACGTCGGCTGAGCCAATTTTATGGCCCTTATTACGCCCTACCTTAACCGGTTTTCCACTCTGAGGTGGTTTAGTGGAAAGTGTCGCACCATCTCACATGCATGGTCACGGGTTCGAATCCCGTATCGATATCCGACCAGGCCAACAAAACATTGGTTAATTAGTACCAGACTAACCTGGGAGGTTAAGAGTCTTGACCTGTACATAGCCGACCCTGCCGCATTGTATTGTACAGGCCACATACGCACTCAATGCACCACTACTATCCTTAGCTCAATTGAATGAGAGGCGCATCAGACGGAATTTATGAACGCCCGATGACCTTATCCTTTTATTACGACTATAATTAACACACTTAAGCACAGTTCACGATGGCTTATACTTTCGTTTTCGACTAAAAAAGGGATACCTCAAGATTATCGTTAACTGTGCTCAAACTGACCAGGCATGCGATCAATTTCTTCTCCCTGTGTCAATGAAGAATTTTCTGTTCTCTCTGTCTGATGCATAGCCTCAATTTAACGTATTTTAATTTGAGGCAAAATTCTTGATTCTTTTACCCTTCAGACAGTTTGTTTTCAGGTCTGACCCTTCGTTCTCTTTGTCGACACCGCAAGATGTCCAATCTCTAGCCACTACACTCTCCTCATTTCGAGCACTTCCGTTTGTCAATCATTCTGAAGCGTATTGGCCAGAGAAATTCATAAAATGGAGTGCCGATTACCGCTGCGTTGAAGGGTATGTTTTGCCGTTGACCACCCCACCTGTTAGGCTGCTTTCATA